TTTTTCTTTCTTCCCCGTCCTTAATGAACATCGATAACTGGCTATCGTTGCCTGCTATATATTAATTGTTTTTAAAAAGCGTGATTTAGGTAATAATGTCCGCCGATCTTACGTGGCAAATCATCCGCAAAAACAGCTGTTTCATCCGTCGTCAAAAGGGAATTCAGAAGCACTTTTCTGTCGAACCATTCAATCTTCGTGGCTTGAACAGTCGCCGCTTCAATGGCCTGATTAGCAAAAAGGCTATGGACATTGCACCAGCTAAAGACGGGAAGGGTGTCGTTGTATCAGTAAAGGTGCCAGGTGCGAAACTGCTTCTTTTCTAAACCATTTCCTTTTTTCGCGCATTTCAATATTTTGGGCATAAAGGTTAATCTCCATTTTTCTTAGTCTTTTTGTATTCATATGCGTTTCAAGATTGATGCCGCTCCCTTTTATTTCTTTAGCATGATTTCTTTGAAAGTTGCAAGGAACATGTTTTTGGGAATTTTGATTTGTTCGTCAGAATACGTGTTGCAAGGATCTGTATAGGTACACTATTCTTTTAGATATCACATTAATATACTGTTACCTTTTTGAGAACAAACTTGTCGTTGCTTTTTGGATTTATGCACTACTAAAAAGCTCCTGGACTTATTACAATGTGTTGTATTCGCCCCTTCATCCTTACCCTCCTTTGAACAAATCTTTTGCAGTTTTTATTGATATGAAGTGTCATACGAGCTTTCTGAGGTTGGTATAAACTTCGTTCATATAACACAAGAGTTGCATTTTTATCTCAGATTAATGCTTGCACAAATTTTCATGTCTAAAACTTAAGTCAGTGACCTATAATTAGTAATCTCAATCAAGGAAGTCTTTTCTATCTATAAGTGATTTCTGATGTTTAGGTAAGGCTGGACGCCCAGCCAAGAGCATCAACACCATTTCACTTCGTAATCGCGACAAGATGTTGAGGTCCGTCAAGGCTATCGCCAAGAGCCAGGGTCTAACTCCCTATTACAAAGTATGAAGATACGAAGCTTTGTCTTTGAGATCCTATGCTTATCCTTCCAGCTCGCTCAAAGGCGCGCCGCCGCTATTGTCCGCTCCCAGCAGCCCAAGACGAAGAAGCACGCTAAGAAGATCGAAGCCTAAACGTTGTTTTGTTGTTTGTTTTACATAAATATGATTTGTTTATTGCCATTCATGTTTGCACAAATTATGATGCGAAGATACGTAGAAAAATTGCTAAATGGTAACCCACTTCAAGTTCTGATCTGCTACAAATTTTGAAGTGGTTTTTCTAACATGAATTCGACAGCTTTTGAGACGTCTTTCTGAATTCATGCAGGGTTCTTTGTTAATGTTTCCGCGAGGTGGTTTCACATCTTAAAAACTGTGGTACACTAAGAATATATTCGAAAAACAGATTGTGATCTTTTGCAGACAAGTAAAAAGCGTTATCAGAAGCTGCATTACACTATATCGATTCTAAAATTTCACGTCTTTGGAGTACCTTAATATCATGGTTGAAGAAAAACCACCTTTAGTTTTTGCAAACGTCGCTACAGTGGTGCAGAGTTTTAACATGATATGAGATAGTGCACGTGTACTATGAGTGAGTAAATTTATGCTTAAGCTATGATAGGGTACCACTTTCTTACTTGCCAGAACGTTTCGTACGGGATATGACGAGTACGTTATAAGAAAGTGACTAATTTTGGAAAAAGGACCAGATTTTGAATGCGTTGGTACTAATTGTATCCGATGAACGAAGTGTTGCAGACATAACTTTGTAT